AAAATATAATATAGTCTATTATTTGTAAACCTAGAAGTAGAACACTTTTGTAATGTTTGGATTAATTGTAATTCCCCGAATTATTGTTACTAGATCAGGAAGTAAATATTTATAAACCTTTTTGAAAATGATTACTATATGAATTTTATAAAAAGACAAACAAAATATTTTAGTATATAAGATGAAACGGAATGAATTAAAAAGGATAGAAAGAGAAGACCTCGGGAGTACCGAAGGTAATCTCTTTCCGTGTGGTACGTTTGTGACATTAAGTTTTTTTTTGTGTATTATTTATTTATCCGGTTTTAAGTGTATTAATTTTTTATATGTTTTATTTTGATTGATTATATCTTTATTAACTACTTTTTGCGTTATTATTGAACTACTTAAACTATAAGTTAGAACAAAAAGATTGTNTTAAACTATAAGTTAGAACAAAAAGGTTGTTCCTTAAATAAATACAACAATTCTATAAATTAAAAGGTTTAGTGTCCAAAAAAACAATGCGGGTCATATATTTTGCTCTCTATCAGTCTATATTTCAGTATGGACTGATAGGATGGGGGGGATTAGGTGATACTATTATAAACAATTTACAAATAAATCAAAATCATATATTAAGAATCTGCCTAAATAAGTACTCTCTGTGGGGTTCCACAAATCAAAATTATAAAGAGCTAGNTCTCTGCGGGGTTCCACAAATCAAAATTATAAAGAGCTAGAAGTATTGCCAGTTAGATTTCTCTATAAAAAAATTGTCATTTTGTTTACTTTCAAAAAGTTCATACAAGAAAAAGACTATAAATTGCAAGAATGCAAAAGAGAAAATACAAGATATAATATACCTCTCAAATATCCTCATAAGTCATTTGGTCAATCTTTTGTTTATTATTTAGGGTTGTATATTTTAATTAAATGCCAATTCAGTATAAAAAAATATTCATTGTTATAAAACTAAGACTAAAAAAATTGTATATCGTTGGTTATTTTCGCAATTAACCTAAATTTATTTTCATTCCATTTTTTAATTGTTTTTAAATTATTGATTTTCTATTGTACTCTATTCGCGTATTATTTTGTTTAAATTTTTTTGTTTTTTTTTTTTTGTTTTAAATGTTTAAATTACTCTTTAAGTACTCTCTATCTCTAGCACAAGCTACTAGCTTAAAATAGATAGATAACCATTAACTATTAATTAATTATTTGTATGATATTTAATGAATGATGGTTTCTTTGAATAAATAAAAAAAAAAAATAATAATAATATTTATAATAACATATTATTTTGTTATAAATAATTTGTCCATTAAGGTGTCTGGGTACCGACCGCTTTTTAGTAAAACACTACCCGTTTTTGTTCCATCAGTNGACCGCTTTTTAGTAAAACACTACCCGTTTTTGTTCCATCAGTACGACGAAACTACTGATGCGATAAAAATTTTGAAAACATATCTGAATTCAGCATCATGTCACTTAGGTATCGGTCAGGCCACGCTTTTGAAATTTTGATGTTTTTAACCCTTTATTACAGTTTACATTTTCGAATAATTTTAAAATTTACAAAATACATTTTTACGTTGAAGGAATCACAATTTCAAAAAAGTAGCCTGACCGATACCTAAGTGACATGATACTGAATTCAGATATGTTTTCAGAATTCTTATCGCATCAGTAGTTTTGTCGTACTGATGGATCAAAAACGGGTTGTTTTGTACGCTCAAACTAATTGTTTTCAAACAGTAGCTGTTTATGTGACTGCTCGTGCGCGTATGTGCGTTATCCGTAGCAGCTATTTTATTGCCCATAGGTTGCATAGCGCAATACCGACTGCCTAAAAATAGTTACAAATGCATACTTGATATTATACCTATATATATATGATATTTGATTATTTGCTTTTATCTTATTTGCAAAGCTATCATTGCATAGTAAGAAACAAATTTTGTTGTTGTATTTCTATTATAAGTGTCGCTAAAAAAATGGGGAGTCATAAAAAAATATCGCTATAAAAAAAAAAAAAAAATAGAGGTAATATGGTAAAAATCTGGTAAGGTACGTATTTATAAAAATAATTTTCATACACTTTCTTAGTTTCGATAGAAAACTGAGAAGATATTAGTTTTACTATGATGCGTTTTTTGCTTGTGTCTATCCATATTTGTACCTACTGGACTGTTATTGTTCAACGATACGCCAAAAGATCAAAAAATATATCTTGTTGATGTATTCAGCATTTTATTTTAATAATTTCTCTTTAAATCTGACACAATAACGTATTTTTCTCAGTCGCACACTATTTTATCAAACTATATCTAACACTAAGTAACTAACATCAATTACTTAGCTCATAACATAAACAGCTTTTTATTTCAACACATTTGAAATGTATGCATACATAAATTGCTTGATCATTAAACATATAAATTTCTTACATTAATTATAAAATGAATTTTAAGCTACATGCAATAAAAAAAAGTAAATCATTTTTTAAAAACAGGTGGTCAGAATTGAGTCATGTTGAGATATAACCTATATATAGTATAATACGAAGTGCTTAGAATTCATGAAGTCATAAGTGACATTTCAAAAAAAAAAAAAAATGATTTAGGTGCACCATCAGACTGAAAATTAATAGTTCTTAATAGTAGAAAAAATAGTAAATAAAAAACACATTATTGTAAAATAAAGATATAATTTCAACTACACATGAAAATTAAAAAATAAATACAATATATATTATTTTGGTAGAATGTTTCCAATTCTCAAACTAACATTTTACTTGACATATTTCAAACAAGTAACGAGGAGAATTTAATAAATGAGTGAGTAATTTTTGCACGAAAAAAATTTTGAAAAAAAAGCAAGGATAGAATATAATTTATTAGAAACAAACATTTTTTTTTCTTTAAAAAAATTGGAGATGATAGTTTTTATGATTTTTTACCATTGTCACCCAGTGCACAAACTCTAGATACTTGCAAAAAAATGTCTTCAGAAGTTAATCAACCAATAATTCAAAAAGAGTTTATTTTTTATAGTATTATTTTACAATGAAATTAATACACATATTTAACTATTTTAGGTATAATTTAAACAGTCGTAGAATAATAAATGTTGAATATTCTTTTAATAGTTTAAAATCAATTAAACACGAGTTATTTGCTTTTTATGTGCCATTCCAGCGTACTTTATATAGTAAGAATGCCCCTATAAATAGATTCATGCATCATGTAAATAAATTTAATATCGATGTTTTTATTTGTAATTCAGTTATTACTTTTAAATCTTATCTTAATAAATTAGTAATTTAATCATAACATAATATTGTACTTCCAAAACAACCATTATCTATGTATATATTTGTATACTCCACATTCTATTGTAATTGGGCTCGCCCGTTTAATGATAAATAAATAAATAAATAACCTTCATTGTTATTAAATTTATAATTATGTTTTAAGAAAAAAAAGAAGAAAAAATGTGCGATGAAAATGATGGTCCATCAATTACACAAAAAGTTCGAATTCATTAGTTATTATCAATATTTATTAAACAACATATCTTTGAGTTGTTGTTATAATATGAAAGATTTATTAATTGAAGAAAAATGATCGTGTCATTCATATGAAGAATGACAAATTACAACTTGTACCACCAAACTTCAGATAAATAAAAAAATTTCACATGGGTACCACATCTCCTCCAGTATCAATAAGGTCAACACCAATAAGAAAAATATTCATAAAAAAACAATGTGATTGGAAAATACCATCAAAGATTTAATATATGAAGATAAATGATCGTGTCAAACAAAGATTGTCATAACCTTTATTGTTATTAAATTTATAATTATGTTTTAAGAAAAAAAAGAAGAAAACATGTGCGATGAAAATGATGGTCCATCAATTACACAAAAAGTTCGAATTCATTAGTTATTATCAATATTTATTAAACAACATATCTTTGAGTTGTTGTTATAATATGAAAGATTTATTAATTGAAGAAAAATGATCGTGTCATTCATATGAAGAATGACAAATTACAACTTGTACCACCAAACTTCAGATAAATAAAAAAATTTCACATGGGTACCACATCTCCTCCAGTATCAATAAGGACTACACCAATAAGAAAAATATTCATAAAAAAACAATGTGATTGGAAAATACCATCAAAGATTTATTATATGAAGATAAATGATCGTGTCATTCATATCAAGAATGACAAATTAAAAAAAAAANTGAAGATAAATGATCGTGTCAAACAAAGATTGTCATAACCTTTATTGTTATTAAATTTATAATTATGTTTTAAGAAAAAAAAGAAGAAAACATGTGCGATGAAAATGATGGTCCATCAATCACACAAAAAGTTCGAATTCATTAGATGTTATCAATATTTATTAATAACAACTCAAAGATATTTTCATAATTTTACATTCCCTAAATTAAATTATCATTCATTTAAAATAAATAAATACCGATGAGAATTATAAAATAAGTAGTATTACTACTCGAATTTTTTGTTCAATAACAGACGTTCATTCAAGCACAGATAATTTTCATAGCAATACATAGCAAAAAAAAATAAAAAAGAAGAAAAAGAGCGGTACTAGTTACACAAAATTAATTGTAAATGACATATTTCAATTAGTACCACCTATTGTTATACGCGGGTTGGAACCTCGTACCTTAAGCGTGTAAAACAAAAGTTTTACCAACTCGGCAATCGTACTTTGCTAACGACAATTGAAAAAATTGGGTATTTAAGCTAGTTCAAATTTCAAAGATATATAAATTAAATTAAATAAAATAACATATAAAATCGAGAATTTTTTCACGGAAATCGTACGTTTTTCTTTAATATTGATGTCCGTTTTCACCACGAAGACAAGTCCAGAGGTCAAATTTTATTTTTTCAAATTAAAGTATATTACATTAGCTTTAATTTAAGGTATATATAAAATTGTCAGTCTTTCCGGAAGATTTTCAAAAGTTAAGTTGAAAAAGTTAATTTTTTGTAAAAAAGCTACCATTTTGAAACCCTTCCTGTGGGCTGTTAAAGAGTCAAATGTTCACAAAAATATATAAAATGATAGGTAAATATTAAAGGTATCTATAAAAAAAAAAATGATATTGATTCGGTCATTTTTAAAAAAGTTATGGCAATATTAAGTAAAAAAAAATGAAAAAATATCGAAAATTAGCGATTTTTAAATTTGTAATTTTTTGGGGGATTTCCCCCGTTTACGAGGAACGAGGGATTTTTTTTCAATTTTTGAGGGTAATGTCTTCAACTAGATACGATTTGTGATCTTTTGACATATTTTTCATCAAAATCGGTTCAGTGAGAGCTGAGATTGAGCGTATACAGACACAAAAAAAAAAAAAAAAAAAAAAAAAAAAAAAAAAAACACATCATAGTAAAANAAAAAAAAAAACACATCATAGTAAAATTAATACCTTCTCAGCTTCGCATCGAAGCTAAAAAAACACATCATAGTAAAATTAATACCTTCTCAGCTTCGCATCGAAGTTAAAATTTCACATGGGTACCACATCACCTACAGTATCAATAAGGTCAACACCAATAAGAAAAATATTCATAAAAAAACAATGTGATTGGAAAATACTATCAAAGATTTATTATATGAAGAAAAATGATCGTGTCATTCATATTAAGAATGACAATTTTCAACTAGAACCACCTAAATTCAAAACACACAAACAAATTCCACATGGGTACCTCATCTCCTCCAGTATCAATAAGGTCAACACCAAAAGAAAAATATTCATAAAAAAACAATGTGATTGGAAAATACTATCAAAGATTTATTATATGAAGAAAAATGATCGTGTCATTCATATCAAGAATGACAAATTTCAACTAGTACCACCTAAATTCAAATAAATAAAAAAATTTCACATGGCTACCACATCTCCTCCAGTATCAATAAGGTCAACACCAAAAGAAAAATATTCTTAAAAAAACAATGTGATTGGAAAATACTATCAAAGATTTATTATACGAAGAAAATGATCGTGTCATTCATATCAAGAATGACAAATTAAAAAAAAAAACACATCATAGTAAAATTAATACCTTCTCAGCTTCGCATCGAAGCTAAAATTTCACATGGGTACCACATCACCTACAGTATCAATAAGGTCAACACCAATAATAAAAATATTCATAAAAAAACAATGTGATTGGAAAATACTATCAAAGATTTATTATATGAAGAAAAATGATCGTGTCATTCATATTAAGAATGACAATTTTCAACTAGAACCACCTAAATTCAAAACACACAAACAAATTCCACATGGGTACCTCATCTCCTCCAGTATCAATAAGAATTACACCAATAAGAAAAATATTCATAAAAAAACAATGTGATTGGAAAATACCATCAAAGATTTATTATATGAAGATAAATGATCGTGTCATTCATATCAAGAATGACAAATTAAAAAAAAAAAACATCATAGTAAAATTAACACCTTCTCAGCTTCGCATCGAAGCTAAAAACAATGTGATTGGAAAATACCATCAAAGATTTATTATATGAAGAAAAATGATCGTGTCATTCATATCAAGAATGACAAATTAAAAAAAAAACACATCATAGTAAAATTAATACCTTCTCAGCTTCGCATCGAAGCTAAAAACAATGTGATTGGAAAATACCATCAAAGATTTATTATATGAAGAAAAATGATCGTGTCATTCATATCAAGAATGACAAATTAAAAAAAAAATCACATCATAGTAAAATTAATACCTTCTCAGCTTCGCATCGAAGCTAAAAACAATGTGATTGGAAAATACCATCAAAGATTTATTATATGAAGAAAAATGATTGTGTCATTCATATGAAGAATGACGAATTTCAACTAGTACCACCTAAATTCAAAACACACAAACAAATTCCACATGGATACCTCATCTCCTCCAGAATCAATAAGGTCAACAGCGAAAAGAAAAATATTCATAAAAAAACAATGTGATTGGAAAATACCATCAAAGATTTAATATATGAAGAAAAATGATCGTGTCATTCATATCAAGAATGACAAATTAAAAAAAAAAAACACATCATAGTAAAATTAATACCTTCTCAGCTTCGCATCGAAGCTAAAAACAATGTGATTGGAAAATACCATCAAAGATTTATTATATGAAGAAAAATGATCGTGTCATTCATATGAAGAATGACGAATTTCAACTAGTACCACCTAAATTCATATAAATAAAAAAATTTCACATGGGTACCACATCTCCTCCAGTATCAATAAGGTCAACACCGAAAAGAAAAATATTCTTAAAAAAACATTGTGATTGGAAAATACCATCAAAGATTTAATATATGTAGAAAAATGATCGTGTCATTCATAAGAAGAATGACGAATTTCAACTAGTACCACCTAAATTCAAATAAATAAAAAAATTTCACATGGGTACCACATCTCCTCCAGTATCAATAAGGTCAACACCGAAAAGAAAAATATTCTTAAAAAAACAATGTGATTGGAAAATAACATCAAAGATTTAATATATGAAGAAAAATGATCGTGTCATTCATATGAAGAATGACGAATTTCAACTAGTACCACCTAAATTCAAAACACACAAACAAATTCCACATGGATACCTCATCTCCTCCAGAATCAATAAGGTCAAAACCGAAAAGAAAAATATTCATAAAAAAACAATGTGATTGGAAAATACCATCAAAGATTTATTATATGAAGAAAAATGATCGTGTCATTCATATTAAGAATGACAAATTTCAACTAGTACCACCTAAATTCAAAACACACAAACAAATTCCACATGGGTACCTCATCTCCTCCAGAATCAATAAGGTCAACACCGAAAAGAAAAATATTCATAAAAAAACAATGTGATTGGAAAATACCATCAAAGATTTAATATATGAAGAAAAATGATCGTGTCATTCATATGAAGAATGACGAATTTCAACTAGTACCACCTAAATTCAAAACACACAAACAAATTCCACATGGATACCTCATCTCCTCCAGAATCAATAAGGTCAAAACCCAAAAGAAAAATATTCATAAAAAAACAATGTGATTGGAAAATACCATCAAAGATTTATTATATGAAGAAAAATGATCGTGTCATTCATATCAAGAATGACAAATTAAAAAAAAAAACACATCATAGTAAAATTAATACCTTCTCAGCTTCGCATCGAAGTTAAAATTTCACATGGGTACCACATCACCTACAGTATCAATAAGGTCAACACCAATAAGAAAAATATTCATAAAAAAACAATGTGATTGGAAAATACTATCAAAGATTTATTATATGAAGAAAAATGATCGTGTCATTCATATTAAGAATGACAATTTTCAACTAGAACCACCTAAATTCAAAACACACAAATAAATTCCACATGGGTACCTCATCTCCTCCAGAATCAATAAGGTCAACACCGAAAAGAAAAATATTCTTAAAAAAACAATGTGATTGGAAAATACCATCAAAGATTTAATATATGAAGAAAAATGATCGTGTCATTCATATGAAGAATGACGAATTTCAACTAGTACCACCTAAATTCAAAACACACAAACAAATTCCACATGGATACCTCATCTCCTCCAGAATCAATAAGGTCAAAACCCAAAAGAAAAATATTCATAAAAAAACAATGTGATTGGAAAATACCATCAAAGATTTATTATATGAAGAAAAATGATCGTGTCATTCATATTAAGAATGACAATTTTCAACTAGAACCACCTAAATTCAATACACACAATAAATTCCACATGGGTACCTCATCTCCTCCAGAATCAATAAGGTCAACAACGAAAAGAAAAATATTCATAAAAAAAACAATGTGATTGGAAAATACCATCAAAGATTTATTATATGAAGAAAAATGATCGTGTCATTCATATTAAGAATGACAAATTTCAACTAGAACCACCTAAATTCAAAACACACAAACAAATTCCACATGGGTACCACATCTCCTCCAGTATCAAAAAGGTCAACACCAAAAGAAAAATATTCTTAAAAAAACATTGTGATTGGAAAATACCATCAAAGATTTATTATATGAAGAAAAATGATCGTGTCATTCATATGAAGAATGACGAATTTCAACTAGTACCACCTTAATTCAAAACACACAAACAATTTCCACATGGGTATCTCATCTCCTCCAGAATCAATAAGGTCAACACCGAAAAGAAAAATATTCATAAAAAAACAATGTGATTGGAAAATACCATCAAAGATTTATTATATGAAGAAAAATGATCGTGTCATTCATATTAAGAATGACAAATTTCAACTAGTACCACCTAAATTCAAAACACACAAACAAATTCCACATGGGTACCTCATCTCCTCCAGTATCAATAAGGTCAACACCGAAAAGAAAAATATTCATAAAAAAACAATGTGATTGGAAAATACCATCAAAGATTTATTATATGAAGAAAAATGATCGTGTCATTCATATGAAGAATGACGAATTTCAACTAGTACCACCTAAATTCAAAACACACAAACAAATTCCACATGGATACCTCATCTCCTCCAGAATCAATAAGGTCAAAACCGAAAAGAAAAATATTCATAAAAAAACAATGTGATTGGAAAATACCATCAAAGATTTATTATATGAAGAAAAATGATCGTGTCATTCATATGAAGAATGACGAATTTCAACTAGTACCACCTAAATTCAAATAAATAAAAAAATTTCACATGGGTACCACATCTCCTCCAGTATCAATAAGGTCAACACCAAAAGAAAAATATTCATAAAAAAACAATGTGATTGGAAAATACCATCAAAGATTTATTATATGAAGAAAAATGATCGTGTCATTCATATCAAGAATGACAAATTTCAACTAGTATCACCTAACTTCATATAAATAAAAAAATTTCACATGGGTACCACATCTCCTCCAGTATCAATAAGGTCAACACCAAAAGAAAAATATTCATAAAAAAACAATGAGATTAGAAAATACTATCAAAGATTTATTATATGAATAAAAATGATCGTGTCATTCATATTAAGAATGACAATTTTCAACTAGAACCACCTAAATTCAAAACACACAAACAAATTCCACATGGGTACCACATCTCCTCCAGTATCAAAAAGGTCAACACCAAAAGAAAAATATTCTTAAAAAAACATTGTGATTGGAAAATACTATCAATGATTTATTATATAAAGAAAAATGATCGTGTCATTCATATCAAGAATGACAAATTACAACTAGTACCACCTAAATTCAAATAAATAAAAAAATTTCACATGGGTACCACATCTCCTCCAGTATCAATAAGGTCAACACCAAAAGAAAAATATTCATAAAAAAACAATGTGATTGGAAAATACCATCAAAGATTTATTATATGAAGAAAAATGATCGTGTCATTCATATCAAGAATGACAAATTACAACTAGTACCACCTAAATTCAAATAAATAAAAAAATTTCACATGGGTACCACATCTCCTCCAGTATCAAAAAGGTCAACACCAAAAGAAAAATATTCTTAAAAAAACAATGTGATTGGAAAATACCATCAAAGATTTATTATATGAATAAAAATGATTGTGTCATTCATATTAAGAATGACAATTTTCAACTAGAACCACCTAAATTCAAAACACACAAACAAATTCCACATGTGTACCTCATCTCCTCCAGAATCAATAAGGTCAACACCGAAAAGAAAAATATTCATAAAAAAACAATGTGATTGGAAAATACCATCAAAGATTTATTATATGAAGAAAAATGATCGTGTCATTCATATTAAGAATGACAAATTTCAACTAGTAGGTGTGTAATATATGAGCTGGGTCCCCCCTAACCCACATGTTGTGGGTTTACCCTGCCAAAGGTTAATTAATGTGAGTTTAATGAACATATATTGTCATAACCTTTATTGTTAGTAAATTTATAATTATGTTTTAGGAAAAAGAAGAAATGTGCGATGAAAATGATGGACCATCATTTTTCAATACAACTGTGTTTACCCAAGAAAATAGTTATAGTCCATGGGCTTCACAATGGCCGAAACCTAATCACATCAGAAAATTAACCTATATTAATAATTTATAAACAATAACTTTATATATTGTACTAGTTTCTTATAATAAACTTATAATCCTAAATAAAAAACAAAGTGTTGTTATTTGTAAATAATATATTTATTTTATAATAATAATAATAATAATAATTACAAGGTTTATAATAAATGTTTACATAAACATGTAAAAAATGTTAAAATATACGGATGGTACTGTCAAAAGGTGTCTAAATAAATACANTATACGGATGGTACCGTCAAAAGGTGTCTAAATAAATACAGTGTCTGAAATTACTAGAGCATATGCAGTTGTATTAGCAGTGAACGTGGTTGATGCTTCAATTTCAATATGTAAGTCAAAAGACGGGACTGTAATTGTGCCGTTCTGCTTAGAAATATCAATCACTGCAATAGAATTATTATAATGATATTAAAAAATAATATTAACTATGGTTAAAATAAAGACTTCTATACATTTGTCGGTTAAATAACAAGGTATTTGTATGGTGGATTTGTACCGCACATATTTGTACAGTATTCATTATCACATGTAAAAATGTTAAGTTTCATGATGTAAATTAGAATATGTGTATGAAAAAACTATGTTTAAAGATCTATACCTGTTCTTGTACTTCATCCTGTCACATGCATAACACTAGAAGAAATGGCTATTTATGTTAGACTTAATGTATATTATTAATATTATATACAAAATATGAAAGAAAAAAAATAATTAATTTACAACAAAACAAACTTATTATTTACAAATTATAAATACCACTCTGATTATTCATTTACAGTCTCGCCATCCAAATTAAAATTAAGATAGGTAATTGGGGTGCAATAATATGTCGGTACCAAATTCGCCATATGCTGAGTCGAGTTAAGCTCAGTTAAACCTATGTTTAATATTCATAATCATAATGGACTTAATAAAATACCGCAACAAATTAAGGAAGACTGATGATTCGATGTATAGAATAATAAAGAACCGTATTACCCAAAAGTGCAGAGATGAAAAGGAGAAATGGATGGATATAACATGCGAAAATATGACTGCAAATAGAATGGACATAGCATATGGAATGATTAAACGATTGTCAAGATTACCGAAGCCAAGAAGCAAAATTGTTAAGGATATGAATGGACAACTGATTTTAGATGAAGGTGGAATAGTGACGAGATGGAAAGAGTATATAACACATCGTTCAATAATGTGTGTGACTGACACATAGATGGCTCCACTAATACCAAATCAATATTTTTTTCGAAAGTGTGAACCTTTTTAGGCTTACTATCAAAATTATATGTCAATCCGACCATTAGTTTACAAGTTACAGTGCTTTAAGTGACGCTACTTTTGAGTTTTCAAAAAAAATGAATTCAAAGCAATTTCGTGTTTTGATTTATCATTGCTTTTAAAAAAAAAAAATACTGTTCAATGCCAGGAATGGCTTAAAAAACATTATTCGAACTCTGCTCCATCAAAAAGAACCATTTGTTATTGGTATGCCGAATTCAAACGTGGTCGTACAGACACCGATGACATTCCATCTACTGGACGGCCAAATGACGCTGTTATTCCGGAAAACGTTGAAAAAACACTGAAAATTATTATGGGCGATCGAAAAGTGAAGTTGCTCGAGATAGTTGACATCCTAAAGATATCAGCAGGCAGTGTACACACCATAATACACGAACATTTGGGTATGAAAAAGGTGTTTTCCAAATGGGTGCCGCGTTTGCTCACACCGGAGCAAAAACAACAACGAATCGATGATTCAAAGGCTTGTTTGGACATTTTTAAGCATAATAAGTCGGAGTTTTTGCGTCGGTTCATCACAATGGATGAAACATGGATCCACCATTACACTCCGGAGTCCAATCGGCAGGCTGCTGAGTGGCATGCAACCGGTGAAAGCCGCCCAAAACGTCCAAAGGCACAAACATCGGCTGGCAAGGTTATGGCCTCTGTATTTTGGGATGCTCACGGTATAATATTCGTTGATTACCTCGAAAAGGGTCAGACCATCAACAGCGACTATTATATAAAGTTATTGGAGCGTTTGAAGGCCGAAATTTCCAAAAAAAGACCGCATTTGGCGAAGAAAAAAATCTTGTTTCACCAAGACAATGCACCGTGTCACAAGTCGATGAAAACGATGGCAAAAATGCATGAATTGGGCTACGAATTGCTACCACACCCACCATATTCTCCAGATCTGGCCCCCAGCGACTACTGGCTTTTCGCAGATCTCAAAAGGATGCTCCGTGGAAAGAGATTTGGCTCAAATGAGGAAGTCATCGCTGAAACTGAAGCCTATTTTGAAGGCAAAGAAAAATCGTTCTACAAAGGCGGTATTGAAAGATTGGAAAAGCGTTGGAATGATTGTATCTCCCTAAAAGGGGACTATGTTGATGAATAAAAACGAATTTTGGCAAAAAAATGTGTTTTAATTAGTTAGTCACACACATTACTGAACGATGTGTTAGAAGATTTGTATAAAGGTTGTATAGGAGAAAATGACATAAATATTGAAAATATAAGTGAGTCAAACAGAGAAGACATACAAAAAGCGAATTTATTAAAGCACTAAGTGAATTGAAACAAGGTAAAGCGACAGGAGTAGATGACATCACAGCAGAACTATTAAAAAACGTCGGAAAAGATACCGAAAATAAGCTATATGAAATGATTGAGGAAATGTATAGGGATGGCAACATTCCGGAGGACTTTGCCAAAAGCAAAATTGTACTTATTCCTAAAAAAGGGAATTCCACAGAATGCAAGAATTACAGAACAATAAATCTCTTAACACATGTGTCCAAAATACTTC